AACACCTTTATTGTGTTATAATTACCATCTCCTGCAATTCACTCATGTTAAGCAAATGATTCGCTGGCTTTTAGAATGCTCACAGTGGCGCAGCCAGTATCCCTTCTTTCAGTAAATCTTTATTGAGAAATAAATGATTCTTTTTCCTCCCAGAATAAACAGGTGCATGTGTCCATTGCTGTTCTGTGCCAGACACCGAGGATGTCATGGTCACTGGAGAGACAGGTTCCCTGCCCTCCACGGAGCGAGTCAGGGAGCCCGATGGTGGCCAGTGGCTTTCCTGGTTACCAGGGTCTGAATGATAGAAGCCCAGGGGCCAAGTGCTTCCTGAGGCCCAGAGAAAGACTTGGCCTGCAGAGGGCAGGGCGAGACCCGCAGAGCAGTACCGGGGAGTAGGGCTCCAAGAAGATGGTACTGTGCTGGGCTGACTGCTGGGGTCCTGGGGGCCGTGGGGAAGAGGGTGGCCTTCAGCCTGTGCATGGCAGGGTTGGGATGAAAGCAGGAGGAAGCTTCTCCTTGGACTCAAGCCAGCCTCGTGGTCTCCCTCGCTTGCCTTTTGTGTTTTCTGGGGCCAAGCCAGGTGCCTTCAAAAGTCACAGGGAGTTGCCCAGTGACCAGCACTTCCCCTCCAAGGCACGCACCCAGGAGAACCGAAAACGCGGTTCAGGCAGACACTTGCGCAGCACTGCTCACCGTAGCCAGGACGCAGGCCCAGTCCGGTGTCCGTCACGGAGGAATGCGTGCACAGCGTGTGGATGTCCACACAGTGCCTGTTACTTGGCCAGAAAAAGGAAAGCAGCACCGATGCGTGCTGCTCCGTGGGTGAACTTTGGAAATATACCTAGACAGAAGGTCACCTGTTGTGCAATTCCATGTAAATGACAGGTCCGAAAATGGCAAATCCCTTGAGACAGGAAGCACGTGGTGGCTTCTGAGGGCTGGGGGAGGGAACGGAGAGTGTGTGGGTGCTGATGGCTATGCGTGGGCTTTCTGTTTGGGTAATGAAAAGTTCTGGAAATGGATGGTGGCAGTTGCATGACATTTTAAATGTACTTTACTCAACGCTGTTGAAACGTGGTTAAAATGGCAGAGTTTATGTTTTATCTGTTTTAACACACACATTAAAAAGGTGCCAAGCCTGGCATCCGCCTTTCCTGCCATCTCGAGGCGTGTCCTCTGAGCTCTGCTGCTGCCTGCTTTCTCCAGCTCATCTGTTGACCGACTCCAGGCTTCCAGGCTTGGCTGTGTGGGTCCTGACCGTTCTTGCCAACTCTCTCCTCAGCTGAACTTTGACCTGGACCGAGGCGTGTTTCCAGTGGTCATCCAGGCTGTGGTAGATGAAGGAGATGGTGAGTGCATCCTCTTCCATCCTCCTGGGCGTGCAGGCCATGCAAGGAGGAAGCGCGTCCTGAGGGAGGAGTGCTTGCAGCAGTGATGAAGCAGGCCAGGCACAGGGCCTTGGGCTCGCCACAAGGCGGGGTGTGTGGGCAGCTTGGAGTCTGGGGCAGGTGAGGAAGTGGAAAGTGCAGGAGGGCGGGTCCCAGAACAGACTCTGGACTCTGGACTCTGCGCAGGCTGAGCCCTTGGTGCCTCAGGCCTGCCAGGCTCGGGGAGGTGAGATGCCTGGGTAGGGCAGGCCCGGATTCTTGACTGCTCTGCCCCTTTCTCCCCAGCAGTGGTGGAAGTGACCGGCCATGCCCACGTGCTCTTGGCCGCCTTTGAAAAGGTAAGTGCCATCTGGCCATCACCTTCCCGAGGACCTGGGAGCTGGGCAGGGGGTGGTCTTTTGAGATAAGGCTGAGCAGGGGTTGGGGCTTCGTGGGGTGGCTGAGTGTCAAGGGCCCGGGGCAGGTGGGGGTGTGCCTGTGGCTTCCTGCTTTCCAGAATTCTGGTCCCGAGGCTGAGCGCCGCTATCAGGAGGCTTTGCATTTGCTTTTTTTGTTTTTTTTCTTTTTCCTGAGACAGGGTCTCACTCTGTCACCCAGGCTGGAGTTCAATGACCTCGGCTCACTGCAACCTCTGCCTCCCCGGTTCAAGCAATGCGCCCGCCTCAGCCTCCCGAGTAGCTGGGATTACAGGCACCCACCACCACGCCCAGCTAATTTTTGTATTTTTAGTAGAGACGGGGTTTCACTGTGCTAGTCAGGATGGTCTTGATCTCCTGACCTCGTGATCCACCTGCCTCGGCCTCCCAAAGTGCTGGGATTACAGGTGTGAGCCACTGTGCCTGGCCTTTATTTTATTTTATTTTATTTTTATTTTATTTTTTTGAGATGACGGAGTTTCGCTCTTGTTACCCAGGCTTGGAGTGCAATGGTGCAATCTCGGCTCACTGCAACCTCTGCCTCCGGGGTTCACACCATTCTCCTGCCTCAGCCTCCCAAGCAGCTGGGACTACAGGCACCTGCCACCACACCCAGCTAATTTTTTGCATTTTTAGTAGGGACGGTTTCATTGTGCTAACTGTGCTAGTCAGGATGGTCTTGATCTCCTGACCTCGTGATCCACCTGCCTCGGCCTCCCAAGGTGCTGGGATTACATACATGAGCCACTGCACCTGGCTACACCTGGCTAATTTTTGTATCTTTAGTAGAGACGGGGCTTTGCCATGTTGACCAGGCTGGTGTTGAACTCCTGACCTCAGGTCATCTGCCTTCCTCGGCTTCCTGAAGTGCTGGGATTACAGGTGTGAGCCACTGTGCCTGGCCTTTATTTTATTTTATTTTATTTTTATTTTATTTTTTTGAGATGACGGAGTTTCGCTCTTGTTACCCAGGCTTGGAGTGCAATGGCATGATCTCGGCTCACTGCAACCTCCACCTCTTGGTTCAAGGGATTCTCCTGCCTCAGCCTCACGAGTAGCTGAAATTACAGGTGTCCACCACCATGCCTGGCTAATTTTTTGTGTTTTTAGTAGAGATGGGGTTTCACCATGTTGACCAGGCCGTTCTCGAACTCCTGACCTCAGGTGATCCACCCGCCTCGCCCCCCCACAGAGTGCTTGGATTACAGGCATGAGCCACCGCATCTGGCCATCTTTTTTTTAAACAGTTTCTTGCTCTGTTGCCTGGGCTGGAGGGCTGTGGTATGATCTCAGCTCACTGCAGCCTTGACCTCCTGAGCTTAAGAGATCGTGCCGCTTCAGCCTCCTGAGTCGTTGGGACTACAGGAGTACACTACCGTGTCTGGCTAATTTAAAAAAAATTGTTTTTATAGAGAGGAGGTCTCGCTGTGTTGCCCAGGCTGGTCTCAAACTCCTGGCCTCACGTGATCCTCCCACCTTGGCCTCCCAAAGTGCTGGAATTATAAGTGTGAGCCACCATACCTGGCCAAGACGCTTTTCAAAGGGTACTTGGAGTATGTCAAGGGAGAATGTTCTAGACTGAGGCCAGCCCTCTAGAATTCTGTAGAGCCTGCTGACACGGGCTGGGGCTCCCAGAAGGTGGGCTCCCTGCGGTAGACTTACTTCACCCTGGGGTGTGCAGAGATCAGCAGTGTTGTTACCTCCTTGGGCTGTAGCCTTTTCCCACCAGGCTCAGTGTCCTTGGGTGTCACCTGGCACATGTCACAGAGCCCCAGTCCTGCTGCTCCTTCCCCCACCTGGCTGCCACATCCTGACCGTGCGGACTGGTCAGGCCCCACTCCTTGCAGGAGGCTTTTCCTGACACCACTCAGAACAAACATCTGCTGTCCCCGCTTGATGTTCACGAAGGCAGCCCTCTCCTCTTGGATGTCGTGGCATCCTCAGAGCTGAGTTTGACACCTGGCACAGAGCAGACACTCAGGGAACGCTGGCAGGATGGACGAGGGGCTGCTGCCCAGCTGGCATTGGTTTCTCCTGAGAACTTGGCGGAGGTGATGGGACGCACCCTTGTTTGTTAGTGCCTCGATGGCCCCCCCCAGTGTACACTGACGTTCATCAGCACCCTGCCATTGCAGGTCTGCGTGGCACCATCCTGCGGCCCCGGAGTCAGGAGGGGAAAAGGATCCCGTGAGACAAGGCCCAGTCTGCCTGCTTCGGGCTTCACGCTGCCTCTGGGTCCTGCCTAGCCCAGGCTCTCCACCCACCTCCAGCCCCATGTGTGGCCACAGCCCCTGAGAACTCTTAAGTGCACAGTCCAGCTCCTCCCTGTGATCTGGGTCTTTCTAGAGCACCCCAAGGTCGGGGGTTCTGTAAGCTGAGTAGAGGACCCTTGTCTGTGTGTCCTGTGACGAGGCTGGGTCTGTTCTCTCCTGAGTCCAGGACCACAGACTGTGGTGACGCAAGTGCCCCGGGCAGAGGGCAGCCTTCTGCCTTTTTAGCACTGGGCTCCCCAGCTTCTCTCCCCAGCCCGGCCTTGTCAGAAGCCACGGTGACTGTTGACACATCTGCCCCCTCTGGCAGAGGCAGATGGGCCATATCTGGCAAACCGGTCCATTTTGTGCTTCGAGTACAGAACCCAGTGGGAAACTGCTTTATTTTTGGAGTCCAGCATTCTGGAAATTTCTGTCAGAACCCGCCAGCCTCACCGGAAAATTCTGAGTGCTGGTCATGGTTGACTGAGAAGGGATAGTGAGTGCTGTTGCGAGGTCGCCGTAATTAACCTTGTCAAGCTGTGAGCGGTGGTGTGTTTCCCTGGATACCACCGGGCACGCTTGTTCTATTTCGTTCCCGCGTTTTTAGAGCTCTGCGGTTCCCTGCGTGTGCACCCCTGTGCGTGGTCCCGCTCTGTCTTTCTAACTCAGCCGGGCCCTGGGAGAGCAGGAACCTGTTTTGTTTGTCTTGATTTTCGTTGCCAGGCGCTGCTTCTCGGTGTGCAGGAGGCCCTTGTCCATCAACTTGGCTGACGGGCCTTCAGCTTGAGTGTGCTTGAGACCAACCGAGGAGAGTTGGGTTCTGTGGGTCAGCGCAGGGTCCCAGGGCTGTATGTTCAGGAGGCTTCAGATAGTTTCACAGCCAGGCCTGAGGACCGTATTTTGAGAAATCTTGGCTTTTTAGTTTTCAGGTGGCCCCATCCTTTTCTTTTTTTTTTCTTTTTCCAGCTACGGGCATGGATTGGCTGGGGCAGGGTGGCCGACCCTGGAGGCCACACAGGGGTGCTCAGAGGCGCCAGCTTGACCACCTTAACCTCTGTGTCTTTCTCCCCTGCAGCACATGGACGGCAGCTTCTCTGTGAAGCCTTTAAAGCAGAAGCAAATCGTAAGTCATCAGAGGAAATACTGCCCGTTTGAATTAATACACACACACACAATCCCATACATACTCATACATAGACACACATACTCATACATAGACACACATACTCATACATAGACACACACGAACACACGCACATATACTCACATACTCATACATAGATACACGTACTCATAGACACACACGAACACACGCACATATACTCATACATAGACACACATACTCATACATACACAATCACATACATACTTGTAGACACATATACCCATACATAGACACAGTCATACATAGACACACATACATAGACACACACGTACACACGCACATATATTCACACACTCATAGACACACATGTACACATGCACATATACTCAGACACATTTGCTTGCACACATATACATAGACACATGCACATACATTCACATGTAGACACATGTACACACATACATAGACACACATACACATACATTCACACTCATACTCGCACACAGATATGCACACATACTCACACTCACATATAATCACACACACATACTCAGACACACACTCAGTCACACACACGTACATAGACACACTCATACGCTCACAATCACACACTCATACATAGACACACATGTACATATACACAGTCACATACTCATACATAGACACATACATATTCACACACATACATAGACATTCATACACGCACATACATAGACAGACATTCACTTCGCACACATAGGCACACACTGATACACATACACTCACGCACTCACATGCATACTCATACACATGCTCATACATAGACACACATTCCCTCGCACACATATACAGACACATACATACACATACACTCACGATCATTCGCACACATGTACATAGACACACAGTCACGGACGTATACAAAGACACACATACACTCACGTAGACACTCATACACACATATACAGACACCTACACACATACACTCACACAGACACACACACACACATACACAGACACACATAGACACATGTATAGACACACATACACTTACTCCTACTCACATATAGACACACACTCACACACACTCTTCAGTACTCTTCATGCACTGCTCTTCCTAGGCCACCCTTGCTGCCTTTGAAATAACTGTGCAGGGGCTGGGCACAGTGACTAACGCCTGTAATTCCAGCACTTAAGGAGGCCGAGGTGGGCAGATCACTTGAGCCCAGGAGTTTGATACCAGCTTGGCCAACATGGTGAGACCCTGTCTCTACTAAAAATAAAATTAACCGGGTGTAGTAACACATACCTGTACCATCTCAGTAGAGGTTGCAGTGAGCTGAGATCATACCACTGCACTCCAGCCTGGGTGACAGAGTAAGAGTCTGTCAAAAAAGAAAAAAGATAGCTGTGCAAGAGCCTGTTGACTTCCCTGCAGAGCTCTAAGCTGTGGGACATTGGGTCCCTGTCTTGGGTGAGCGTATGTGTATTGCATGCCCACCATGTGCAGGGACTCTTGCAGGCCCTGAGTTCTGTCCAGTTTGGGCCATGGTGTCTGGAATATAGTGTTGAGTAAATATTTGCCGAATGAATGGATGGATGGAAAAGGAAGGAAAGAGACCAGAAACAAAGTCTGCAGCTCCTTCTCTTCCTTACAAGGAAGTATTGGACAGAGACTTGGCTTGACTTCATCAATACTTGAAGGATAAAATAGCCTAGAATAAGTGGAGCTATAGAGTAGTCCATCTGTTCTCTGGGGTCAGTAATCCTGGGATGCTGTATTGGGAAGTGTTGTTCCTGGTGGCCTCACGTGTAGCCGCTGAGGATTTAGAGGATATGGGGTTCCCTAAACAGCAGTGTTAGATCTTGCAATGAGATGTCCTAGGCTGTGCCTAGCAGTTACCCTGTGTGTACTGTTGGGGCACGTAAGACCTATTTCAAGCCACCACTTGGGCATGATTTTTGTCAGCTTTTTATTTTTTTTATATTTAATTTAATTTTTATTTTTATTTTATTTTATTGAGACAAGACAGAGTCTTGCTCTGTCGCCCAGGCTGGAATGCAGTGGTGCGATCTCAGCTCACTTCAATCTCTGCCTCCTAGGTTCAAATGATTCTCGTGCCTCAGCCTCCCAAGTAGCTGGGACTACAGGTGTGTGCCACCACACTCAGTTAATTTGTTTTGTCTTGTTCTGTATTTTTGAGATGGAGTCTCACTCTGTTGCCCAGGCTGGAGTGCAGTGGCATGATCCCAGTGTACTGCAACCTCCACCTGCTGGGTTCAAGCAATTCTTGTGTCTCAGCATCCCGAGTAGCTGGGACTATAGGCACACGCCACCATTCCAGGCTAATTTGTGTATTTTTTGTAGAGATGAGGTTTTGGCGTGTTGGCCAAGCTGGTCTCGAACTCCTGGTCTCAAGTGATCCACCAGCCTTGGCCTCCTAAAGTGCTGGGATTACAGGTGTGAGCCACTGCACCTGGCCATCTGTTGGCTTTTTGGATGATAGGTTGTCCAGGTGCGGTGGCTCATGCCTATGATCCCAGCACTATGGGAGGTGGAAGTGGGAGGATTGCTTGAGCCTGGGGATTTGAGACCAGCCTGGGCAATGTAGTGAGACCCTGTCTCTATTTAAAATGTAGATCACAAATAAACAAAAGAGAGGTGGAGCAAACTCTAGCAGGTCCAGGTCCCTGCAGGTGCCAGGGGACTAGGAGACCCCGGTGGTGGGCAGGGCCTCGTGTTGAGGGAGCTGGCCAGCAGGCCCTGGGCTCCCTGGAGTGGTGGTCCTGGCCCGTGGTTCGCGGGAAACCCATCAGCACAGACTGCTTTGCAGTGTGGTCAGTATGAGGCTTTTGGGTTGCGAGTGGGCGGCAGGACAGAATCAGCTTGGAGACATTGCTTTGGTGGCTTTGAAACCAGAGAGGCTTTCATGTCTTGTGGAAGGAGGGTCTGGAAAGCAGTGAGCACCTAGGCTGCTGTCTGGTGCCTTTAGGCGTCGGCTCCTGCTGTCCTTGTGAGGCTGGTGGCGGTGGAACTGAGTGGTGTTGGGGGTGGTGAGGTGGTGGTGGTTGGGCCTGTGGGTTGGCTCCAGGCCCCCAGTGGTGGGGAGAGCCACCAGCTCCAGCCCTGTTCCAGGTGCTGCTGGTTGGGTGGGGGCAGGCAGCAGGTTTTCCCTGCGCCTTTCCTGGCCCCCAGGGGTTGAGCTGGACGGGCCCCTGGGACAGAGGCCTGGAACCTTGGAGGCAGGGCTAGGCCAGGTGGGTGTGGAGGAGCCCTTACATGGCGGTTGGCAAGGGCCCAGCGAGCCCCTCTCTGCTCTCCAGGTGGACCGGGTCAGCTACCTCCTGCAGGAGATCTATGGCATCGAGAACAAGAACAACCAGGAGACCAAGGTGTGTACCTGGGTGAGGTTTCCCTCGCCCACACTGGGGGCAGCTGGGGGACAGCAACGCTTGCCAGTTCCCTTCCAAGCCTTCCTCTGGAGTCCTAGACCACTAGACGCCATCATTTTTCCTTCCTTTTTTTTTTAAAGCTAACACTTTGTGGAACATTTTGTCCTTTCTCCAGCAAATTCACTGGCTTGTTATGTAAATTGCCATCCAGGTTCCCCAAGGCAGCCCAGGAATGGGGGCCAGTGTCTTACCCTCCAGGCTCAGCTGTGTGGCACCCTGCCGCCCGGCTCCCCGTAGACAGCGTGTCCCTGCAGCTCTTGGGATGCCCTTTCTAGATGTCCATAGAACCGGCCGTGGTGCCTGACAAATATGTCGTGGTGGACCGCAGCCAGGGAACGTAGCAGGGGATGAAATTAGTTTTTTTGTTTTTGTTTTTGTTTTTTGGGTCAGAGTCTCTATCTGCTGCCCAGGCTGGAATGCAGCAGGGAGATCCCAGCTCACTGTGGCCTCTGCCTCCCGGGTTCAAGCGATTCCCCTGCCTCAGCCTCCCGAGTCGAGTCGCTGGGACCACAGGTGTGGGCCACCTCACCCGGCTCATTTTTTTGTATTTTAGTAGAGACAGGGTTTCACCATGTTGGCCAGGATGGTCTCGATCTCCTGACCTTGTGATCCACCCTCCTTGGCCTCCCAAAGTGCTGGGATTACAGGTGTGAGCCACTGTGCCTGGCCTAATTTTTAATTTGTGTATTTTTAGTAGAGATGGGGTTTCACTATGTTGGCCAGGCTGGTGTTGAACTTCTGATCTCAAGTGATCTGCCTGCCTCAGCCTCCCAAAGCTCTGGGATCTCAGGCCTGAGCCACTGCACCTGGCCAATGCACTTTTTAAAAGGCTCACTGCCATGAGTGAAACTCCTGCCTCTTAACATCTCTTGGAAAGTCTCACAGGCCCGCTTCATTGTGGCATCTGGGCCCAGCACAACTGACGCAGCTCCACGTGGAGGGAGCAGAGCGCCTGGCCGGGCCTCGCCTCAGCCGAGGGCAGTCAGTGCATTCATGTTTCACACAAGGGGCGGCCGACTTTGCGAAAAGGGCCAGAGAGGGAATGTTTTCAGCTGCGCGGGCATATGGTCTCTGTTGCATCGACTCCACACGGCCATTACAACAGGAGTAGCGGGGACAGTATGAAAATGAGTGGGTGTGGCAATGTTCCAATAAGATTTTATTTACAGAAGCAGGCCGCAGGCCTAGTTTGTGGGTAACTGGTTTAGATTTTTGGCTTTCTCTTGGTCCAGTTGCTAATGTGGTTTCTGGTAGCTGCCATTAATGAAAATATTTCTTTTTTTTTTTTTTTTTTT